GAAAAATAGGTAATAGTCCTACTGTGATTAGGGGAGTCCTGAAAGATGAGAAAGTAGGGGACACTTGGCCTCCAGGTCCTCCATCTACTTTGCTCAGCTACTCTTGTCCTCTTGACCCTCTCATGTGAGAAGCCTCCCACCCCTGGCCTGTGGTAGCACTCCAGCTCTATGAATCCCGTTATCTGTGTGATCATGAGGTCACCCAACTCTTCTAGCCTTAGATTTATCATCTATAAAATGGGAATTAAACTAGGACTGACAACAGAGAAACCTGTAAGGATTAATTACTTTATTTGTATTATGTTTTTAACAGTAACCAGCACATTTTAAGAGCTACACAACTGGTAGCTATTAATAACTCTATCAGGTCAACTACAGCGATCTTAAATACACCAAGTATGTTGCCCTGCCTTCAGGCAGGGTTACACCTAAATTTGAAGCAAACAAAGTAGCTGCACTGAGAACCTGAAAAGGTCTTTGGCCTATGAGGTATCTACAGTTAGGTTTCCCTATAATAAGGGTTCTTACAGAAGCACTCCTCAGTGTCCTTGTATGAATTTAGGCACATTTTGTCTCTTACCATAGTGAACTGAGTCTTAAATTGTATGCTTTCTGAGCCTTGAGAAGGCAACACAGCCTGGTAACATCTACATGGCCATCAAGGTCAAACTGTCTCAGGAGAGATATTATACTGCTCAGATGGTCTGGCATACCTTTCCACATTACCGTCCTCTTCTTTCCCATCTCAGCTTTCCCACTGAGGGGATGACAAGAACTTCTTATGTGGTCTACTCTGATTGGATTAGATAAGTGGTCTATTTCACTGCCATTTGGTTTATTCAAACCTGGCCCTGGTTTGAATATGATACTAAAGAAAGCTATCACTTGTGGGAACATCTCAGACTAGACCAAATTGCTTGGCTTTAAAAATCCCACTTTGGGGACTGGAGAGATGACACCACACCGCTGTTAAGAGCACCGGCTGACTCTCGCAGGGGATTGAGGATCATTTCCCAGTACCCACACGACAGGTCATAGCCACCTATAACTCCAGTTCCCGGGCATTCTCTTCTAACTTCTTTGGGCACTGTAAGAATGGGATACACAGATATACACACAGGCAAAAATCCCATACATATAAAATGTAAATATAAAAATTCCACTTTTATCCTGGTATACCCCAGCAACTTCCTACCATTAGCCATCTTGTGCCTGGTAGTAATGGAGGACAACTTCGTAGGTGAGAGCCCCCCTGTTTCCTACTGAGCAATCTCTGTGTTAAATGTATGCATCCCTCAACTAACTGTCAAGGCCCAGAGCCTTGAACCTCTGCAGCTATTTAAGAATGTGATTCTCTGGGTCAGATACTGAGTGGGCAGATTGCTTATTCTCATTGCTCACAGAAAGTTTTCACCAAGTCTCAGAGAGGTGACTCCCCTGAAAGTATACCATGACTTATCAAAAGTCAGAAGAGAATTGCCCAATTTCCAGACCCTCACTCTGCCCACGTAGTGTGCCACCTCCAGGAAGAAAGGCATCTGTGCTGGCTAACCTCCCACCTCCAGCAGACCTACCTCCTTCCTTTCCTTTTGCTCTCTGGCCTACTAGTCCATCTCCATTTTCTTTGAAACTTTGAGTTTCTTGAAGGATTACATAAGCTTGTTACTGATAACAGGGAGTAGAGGGGTATTTAAGAATGTGCTGATTTCTTGACTAATACTTTTCCTTCAAGGATTTGGACAGAATGAAATATAGCTTAGTTCAGAAGAAAATACAGCTTTGCTCAGAATTCTCCATTCTAGTTTGGTTTTTGCTTTGGTATTTGAGAGTTACATAGACTTGATTCTGGTATCTCTGGTTCATTAAATTATTGTGGTGGCAGATAGAAAATTTTCAAAGTGTCTCACTAGGTCTCTGGTACAGTGGAAAGGTTAGGGACTAACCATCGTGAAACATGGTGTGATGCACCTTGTTCTTGGTGCATCCCCAGCTTTGCACGGTACTACCTGGTTCCTAGGACCACAGTGTCAGGGCCTGGACTGTTGTATTTGTTCTTCCTTCTTATGACTTTGTGTTCAGACATTGCTCTGGAGCTCCTAGCCAATCCCAGATGAGTGGGCAAGGTGACTGCTCAGGCTGACAAAGGGCAAGCAAGCTTCCGGAGACAGGACATCCCAGGCCTGACCTAAGGGGAGGGACTGCTTCTGCAGCTCCCGAGTGGAACTAGAGCCTTGAGGAGGTAGCTCTCCTTGAGAGAAGAATTGGAGATGGCCCTGTGCTGACTCAAGAGCCAAAGTCAGAGTACCCTATGTCATGGAGACAAAACTGAGCCAAGTCAGCAAGAAGTCATATAACCATCATATCTTTCCTCAGGCCCAACAACTTTTGTAACTTAAAGCTGCTATATTTTTGTGAAGGCTTTTAGAAATTTAAGCCTTCCGATCCACACGAGAAATCTGATTTGAATAGTAAAGAGGCTCCTTCTCATTGTTGGGGGTGATACCATGTGGAGACTGGTGATTAGTTCTTACTTCTACTTAAATCTCCAGGTGAGAAAGTGTGTGTTTCAGCCGTGTAACATCATGACTGACTCAGTGCTTTCCTCAGTCATAAGAAAACAAATGCCCATGCTCATCCTACTTCTGGAAGGAAGCGCTTTGGTGACAGTTGTCAAATCAACTGCCTTTAATGAAGAGAGACTCCTGAAGTGATAGAAAGGGGGTAATGGTGGAGCTTAGAGGGAAGAAAAGTCAACCCACAGGAGAAGCAATGGCTAAAATCAACCATGGATAGTAGGGGCTAAAAGAGTACTCTTAATTCCATTGAGCTAACCACTGAAATTTCAAGCCAGAGGTCCCAGGTCACCTGCCCAAACAGTGGCAGCACAGTATCCAAGGCTAAGCCCTAACCCAGTTTCTGTCCTCGAGACACAGGTATGGGGCCTCAGGCCATTAGGCACCCAGTCTCAATAGGCTCATGGTCTATTCACCCTCTCCTCCAGCCCACCAACAGATACATGCCATAACCAATCTTAGCCCCCTTCATTGTGCCACTCTCAGGAAGGGCAGGGGTGGAAATGATAGTCCACATCCCACTTCTTCAACTCTGTAGTAAATCCCGCTGTTGACCTTCCCTACCCAGCCAGGCAGGACTGAGTTCTCCTCTGCTCGCCACCTTCCCATGTTACTGCAGTATTAGGCCCACAGTGGGCCTTTGAGATAACTACATCATGGTGTCCTGCCCGTAGAAACTCTCATAGTATCGGGATTGTGTGGGCAGACAGAAGAGAGAGTTAAACAAGAACAAACAGAAGAGGTGTAGAGGATAAGGCTATTCTATCTATCTTATAGAGAAATCTTTTCATCTCACTAAAGAACCCAGAGTCATCTGTCAGCTGGTTCATAGTTCATATCCTTTCAAAGGGTGTTTCTCAAGCATTCCTGTGTCTGCCACCATCTGTGTCCCAGCCTCATGTGGGTCCTCAGAGGGATACAGGGAAGTAGAAAACCATATCCACCTTCACAATGTTCATGACTCTGCACATATTGGAAGCAATTAAAGAACAATCCAAATAGTAAGTCAATACATGTTAGCTAATACATATACATACAGTGAGCAAATCAATTGATTATAATCTTAGGATACATGTCTAATAGGAAAAAGAAAGGCACCAGCATACATAATTAATTGTCAGAAGGCAGGGGGCTTCCCAGGGGAGGAAAGACTTGAGTCTAAAGGTGTGTAGGTAGAATGGGACAGAGAAGTTAGAGTAGGAGGAGTAGGGGGTGAAAGACAAACTGCTGTTATGGGATGGAATTGTGGGTGGGGCCCATTCACACACACACACCAAGGGCTCCTTGTCAACAATTCCTTGCATAAAAAATTCTTTCCTTAAGCACATGTGGGGCTCAGCTAGATTAGTCTCTCTCCACCTTCTGTGCAAACAGCCTCAGCATCACTGGGAATCTCCCACCAAAGCAGAGGTTATGGTTCGGCTCAGCCACACACTTCCCATCCTCTCCATGCAATTCTGAGCAGGGCAGAATTAAGACCGTTAGGTTATCTTGCTGCTTCTCAACCTTGGCTGTGCCTTTGCCTAGGGAGCTTTTAAACCAGGTGATACTGCCTGGACCGTACCCTCAAAGACTCTGATTCATGGGCACAGTTATTTTTTTAAACTCACAAGATAAGCTCAAGTATGTAGCCTGGGCAGAGGAGTTTTAGGTAAATGACATTCAGGTCCTTTTTGTTTACTGTCCTGGAGTAGAACAACAACAACAACAAAACGGCATATTTCTTCTCCCTTTGTCACTTACAAATACAGTTAACTGGCATCTAGGGGTAGGAAGATTGCTGAGTTCTGAAATCTTCAGTCTCCAAATGATGACAACAAGATTTTTGATGATCTATGTAATTGTGCCCCCATGTCAGCCTAACCCAAGGGTACTGCATATATAGATATTGACTCTCCAATCTATTGTTAAGTATGCATATACACACTCACTTGCTTACACACTTGACAAATTCTGTAAATGTATGTAAATCCTCAGTCAGAATAGTTCATGTGCATTCAAACACAAATCAAGCACCACTAGGAATCCCAGATCAAAACTGGGTATGGTGATGCATGATATACATGCTTTTAATCTAAGAATTGGAAACATTGAAGGTGGAGGATCATGAGTTAGAGCACGGACTGGGTTACACAGTGTAACCTTGCTCCAAATAAGTGAGAAAAGGAGAAAAAGGAGACAGGGAGGGGGAAGAAAGGAGAAGGGGAAATAAGGTAAGAGAAGAAAGATAGCACAGGAGATCTCTAGCCCTGCATACTGAGAATGATTGTGAATGAATTAAGAGTTTAACATAAGTAGCACTTCTTTCCAGAGCAGTGACCTGGAGGGGTAGCAACTGTCTTTTGTAAACCACCCCTCCAAGTGGAAGTAGATAGTCCCTGGGAAGGCTGACCATCAACACTTAAGGGCAATTTGTTTTTCTTGCAGATTCGAGCTGATGGTCCCCCCCATGGTGGGGTCCAGTATGAAATGGTCTCTGTGTTCAAAGATGGGAGCCCCATCCTCCGCGACATGGCCTTCTCCATCAATCAGCTCTACCTATATGTCATGTCTGAGAGACAGGTAAGTGCTGACGCACATCTCTGCTTTCCAAACTCTAGGAAACCTCTGATAACCTATCACCTTTGATCAGAAGTTGCTCTGTCCTATAAGAGAGCCACTGAACTTGCTGTGCAGGGTCCTGGCATTTGCAGAGAGGTAGAGGGATGATGCAGGGCCAGCCTCTTCCCGGAGGCTTCTCTCTAGGCCACAGCCCCTGTCTGGGTGAGTGATAAAAAGCTCTGCAAGAAAAAGCTAGACTGAGCCCCACAGCATGGTGTGATTAGGAGGTAGATTTACTGCTCCTGGGCCCACAGAATTGGCTGCTCATGGGAGCCAAAGAGGTGTAAATAATCTAGGCCTTCAGGCTGGGCTGGCTCCTAGGAGACAGGACTGAGATGGGGCTCTAGAAAGAAATCAAATCTTGTCTTGAGTCTGAGATTGGATGCAGGATGGAGCTGGTCAGTTCTGGAAAGCTGAAACTACCTGCAAAGATTTGAAACCCCAAAAGAGAAGCCTCAGTACTTTGCTAAGGAGCAACTGAGCAAAACCTATCTTCCTAGACCCAGAGGAGGAATTATTTTTCAGCTCATATTTTTTTTTTTACATGTGTGTGAGCAGAGGGAACTATGGGAAGGGAAGGAAGCAGGGATGGTGAGGGTTACCAGACCCTCCCAGGAAGGAATGTCAGTGATGTGCTTAGCCATGGCTGGCTATTTTATCCTCTTGATCAGGAGATAACCATGATCTGTAGCAGCCATGGTATTATCCTTTTCCTGAGGACAAAAAAGAAAAAGATTGTCTTAGAGCTGAGGTTGCTGGCTGACTGGGAAGAGCTGAGCTGGACAAACCACCACTTCACTAGGTATCTCTTGTGTCTTTCTTGAATGTTCTTCAAAGACTCCAAAGTCTTTGGTCAGCTTCACCCTTCCCAGAGTTCTGTGTGCTCTCTTTTTAGAGATAAAGAATCTGGATCAAGGGGTGGCAGATAAGGGGATGCGCGGGAATGAAGAAGAGGGGATGGGTGCATGGTGGCATTAAGGAAAGCAGTGATGCAGCTCTAACTTGAAAATTACTTCTTGAGACTAGATGACACAAATCATATGCTAATTGCATGCAAATTACATCCGGATTCTCTTGAGCCCACCTGTCTTTTCTACCTTTATTTATGTGGCCCCTGCAATTGAGGCATAAACAGATCCAGTTCAGAACTTACTAGAATTAAAGGAAGTTTTGCCAACCTGGAGTGGGTAAGGCAGTCCTAGAAATAAAGATTAGTCTCTTAGGCCAATAAAATAGCCAGTGGGTCTTGGAAAAGTGTTACTGGGAAGATAATTATTAGGAACAAAGTACTAGGAAAATAACAGAGGAAATGAGGCTTGGTTGCTACCCTTAAATTGATTACCATCTAATGAGGGAGACATGTCCCCAGAGATATGTACCATCAGATAGATTTCTATGGGTGCTTTACATTTTCCTCCTATTCTTTTTTGTTTTTGTTTTTGATTTAAGGCAGAAACTTCTTTGTATTTATTGGAAGGAGTGCATGTGTATATGTATGTGTTATGTGTGTGGAAGCTAGGAACCAACCTCAGGTGTCAATCTTCTGGCACCATTCACTTTGTTTCTTAAGACAGTGTCTTTCACTAGCCTAGCACTCAACAAATAACTAGGCTGACTGGTTTGTAAACCCCATGGTTTAGCTTGTCTATGATCCCTACTACTAGGGTTATATATGGATACCTTTCTTTTGTTTACTTGGGTTCTGGAGGTCCAACTCAGGTCCTCATGTTCGTATGGCAAGCACTTGCTGATTGAGCCATTCCCCCTACCCCCAGAGAGTTATTTTTAAATAAGAAAGTAGATGCTTACCATTCAAATCCAAGCACTACATTTTAAGAACAGTCACAAATCATCAGATCCTCCTGCCCAATATATAACACCCTGTAGTCTTTGGCCAACACCAAGATGCTTCTGCAGAACTACCTACAGACAGTAGGATGGAGGAACAGAGAGGTAGCAACAATGGAGCCAGGTAAGACAGTGGCCAAACTGGATGAAGAGATCATGCTTCGGTAGTATTTTCAGATCTTTTGTATGCCTAAAAACCAAGCAGATCACTCTGGGCAAGAACGTTCACTTGGATTCCCTGAGCCTATTGATATATAAGAGCCAAGGCACAGATAGCAATGACCAATGCGAGCTTATGTTCACTGGGAAGGTGCCAAGCCAAAAAGATAAAGGTAGCATATCTTTGTCAGATAGGATGCTTTTTGAAAATGTAAAATGTAGGCAGAAGAGGATGTTGTTCAGTGACAGAGAGCTTGCCTGGATCAGAGAGGCTGGATCAGAAATGAGGCTGTTGAGTAGGCTTCAGGGAACATAATGAGCTCTTGGTCCATATCTAAAAGCATGAGTCCTAGTCACATCAAGTTCTCAAGTATCTCGTTTATAAATATTCCTTCCTTCTTCCTGTCTTTTGTGTCAGATGCCCTGTTCTTGTTATAGTCAGAACCAGACAGATTGAATAGCAAGCAGCCATGGAAAGCTGAAACTGGAAGCCGTGGGGCTGAATCTGGTCAAGTGAGATATTAGTAGGAGTTCACCACACCAGTGGAGTCGGGCAGTCAGGAGGCTGAGTCTAAGAGGGATATGTGGTGGACCTCAGAAGCCTATCCCCTGGAGAGCTGTAAATCATGCCGAAGAAGTAGCCTGGTGACTTCAGCAGGGGTAATCCAGGGCTGAGGGCCAAGAGCAGCTCATGAGGCCCATCAGTCTAAGGCCATGGAGCAGAGTATTGACACGCAGCACAGCCTCGTAAAGGGCGCCGTTTAATGAGTGCTAAGAAAACAATCAGTAAGAACAAAGTCAGACAGCCTGTTTTCTCTCCCAGTGTTTGCCATTACTTTTCACATTATTCTACAATCTTAGCTTATAAAAGATGTGAATCAAATAATGAGAGATCTCTGAAGCCCCAAGTCCTGGGTCCCAATCTCACAATTTTGTAACTGAGTTGCTTTGGACAAGTCACTTGATTTCAGTGTATCTCATATAGAAAAGTGTGAGATCAGTTGAGATAACAAATGAAGAATCTCTTCTTATTCAGCATCAAAGACCACATACTTACCATGAAGACTCCATATGACCCCTCCAGCCCTCGCTCTCTATAATTCCATTACTGGGTGTGTGTGGTTATTAGGATGAAGAAAACAGCACATGACCCAGATAGCTGACCTGTTCTGAGCCAAGAGGCCCAGATTCTGGAGCCTCTAGTCCTGACTCTACCAAGTTTCCTAGGGGCCTGGTCTCTTAACTCCTCAGGGACTTGGGAAGGCAATCTTCCAAGACAGAGATGTTAGTCTAATTCCAACATTCCCCGAGATCTTAACAAGACTTAGTAAGGGCTTGGGACTTTTAAAAATAAGGTTGGAAGTAAATGTATTTTTATTATTGCTGAATCTGTGTTTTTCTTCTACTTTTCAATATTATTCTTTTCCTATATGTCTTGGAGAGTTCTTGCCCTGTCAAGTCCTTAGGAATGATCCTGGGGTTCTGGAAATTTTTCTTTGGTATTTTTTACTCTGATTATAATGTGTATATGTCATGAATTAAAAATACCTTTTTGCCAATTATTTGGTGAATTTTTGCTGGTTGTTTCTCTTTTCATTTTACTCTGTATGATATCTTTGGACATTTTGGGGAAACAGAAATGATATTCTAATGCAGTGGTTCTCATGACCTGTAGGTTTTGTGACCCCTTTATGGTTGAACGGCCCCTTCACAGGAGTTACCTAAGACCATCAGAAAACACAGTATTTATATTATGATTCGTAACAGTAACAAAGTTATAATTATGAAGTAGCGATAAAAATCACTTTATGGTTGGGGTCACCATAACATGAGGAAGTGTATTAAAGGACATCAGCCATAGGAAGGTTGGGAACCACTGCTCTAATAGACAGAATGATCATAATTAGGTTATTTGTCATGAAGTGTCTCTTCTGCTACTTACAGTGTTTATTGAAGCATGCATCAATACTTTTCTAAATTATTTTTTGGATAACTTCATTATACTTTGAATTTTATTTTATCAGTTTCGGAACACTTCTGACACATAAATCAATTTCATGTTCTTGTACAAGTACTGTACTCAATAGCAGCACAGGTATGCATGACATTAGACTGCAAGATCTTTCTGAAGGAAAGATGGATACAGCCAAGTGCTCCTATGAGTGTCTTCCCTGAACCATGATCACTATGCTGAATAGTAATTTGGTAATCAGTAAGTATTTTCATGGGTCAAGAAATCATATGTTTCCTGTTACTGTAACAAACTATTTAAGACTAGGTAGCCTATAAAGCAAAGTGGGCCAAAGTCAAAACAGCATTGTTCAGTTTCTAGTAGGGGCCACTTGAACCAACTAGTATCTTTCCAAGGACAGCACCTTCAAAGATCTAATTACATACCACTATCTGTTCCCTTAAAGGCTCTACAGTACTTTGTAGCTTGTGAGGCTTGTGGTTCAGGCACACTCAAGCCATAACCAGACTTGATGGAACATGATGGAAGGGTCCTTTCTGTAATTTTACTTTATAATACACTATGGGCCATGTAATCTTATGTCTCTAACTTCCTGTTCTCCCATTCTTTTCCAAAGATGTGGTACCTGATACATCCTTGGAACCATGTGAGGGTAGAATCAGTTTTCCAATTATGCCTGGAAAGGCTTCCATCTCGATATAAAGCTAGAACTATCCAATCTAGCACTCAGATCTCTCTCTCTCTCTCTCTCTCTCTCTCTCTCTCTCTCTCTCTCTCTCGTCAATTAACTAAATGTAATTAAGAAATAGTACTAGTAAAAAGTGTTGAGTCATTAGTGCCACTGCCTAACAAGTCAATGTTAATGTACTCTTAATGGATCTATGGCTTGGCCAGTCCCAGGGGGAGACTTAGAAACAGAATTCCAGTCCTGCTGTTAATTGCCCAGGTGCTCCATCAAGAGAAGGCTAGCTCTTCCCTAGAA